ATTTGAAAGTAAAAATTTATTCGAGCGCATCGAATTCGAATAAGCAGGATTGGAGGCGCGTGTTGAAAACCGAATCCTCTATCGAAAAGTTTCCCTCGAGAAGGTGACGCGGAGAAGGTCGAAGAAGTTCGCGTACGCGGATCGCCGCCTCTTTACCGGCTGTATATGGGGGTCCGCGCGGACCGCGACATTTCAGCTGGCTGAACACGTATGAAATCACGGACGGCCAAGTTAGGCCACGGTTATTGCCTGAACAGTTACGTAACCGATGAATCATTTTGTCGAGATGTACGTGTTAACCTTCGCCATGTGAAATCGGTACCTCGCGTATATATATATTTATATATATATATATATATATATGGACGAGATCGCGAGGATAATGAACCGTGTGCGCTGAATGGTATAGGCTGTGGTGTGTGGCTTCCACGTGGGAAGAGATGCTTTCGATCTTTTCTGCTAGGGGAGCGCGGCTAGATTGAGTATCGCGTGACTGACTGTGTGCAGCGAAATGGTATTTCCTATGTAATCGGTCGAGTGTTGATATAATTGCCTGTCGCGTGAGGATGGAGAGCAGCAAGAATAGGAGAAGGATAGAGGATAATCGAGTATTGTAAATTATTGGAGAGTAACGATTATCGTGATAAATCGAGCAGTTACTTATGGAAATATATATATGTAATTGTAAAATTTGTAAAAATTGTAAAATTCTATTTGATATTTGAGATATTCGTTTGACTGTGAGAAAATAATTGGAAGAAAAATTCCTTCCTTCGGGGGAAGGGATATATATAAAGGCCAAGGATTCAATCGAAATTTCATGAGTTTCCATTTATCCGATATCGAAAAACAAAGTGGCTCGGCCGTCGTTGGAGTGGAAGGAAGGATGAAAATCGATCGGCGCTCGTTAGAAGGAACTTCGTTTCCGTGTCAAGGAAGGAGAGCGATATACGAGATGATTCCATGTCAATAGGAGGAGGAAAAACGAGTTTAAGCGCGATAACCGGATATATTTCATCTCGACATTCATTGCACGTAACTGCGCTCTTTATTCGGCTGGTATCGGCGAATCGTCTACCACGCTATCTACACCGTGGATATTATTCTTGAGCCGGACGCGTAACGATCACGATTCCGCAGTCGAGCGTAAAATCGTGAAATTCCATTGGACCGTGCCACGCAGCTCGCTGTCGCTTGGAAAGGTGACAATCGTGATTCGCGGTTTAACGTAAAACGAGACGAAGCGTCCTTGTCCCTTTTTTTTTTTTCGCCGTTCCCTTTGTTCCAAGTCGCATCGCGAGCCTTGACCCATCGATTATTCCGATTACAATTCTGAACCGGTACAGTAGGATCTACGATGGTTTAATTCTCGTTTATCCGATATGAGATGAATTCGTTGACGCGAATTTTATTTCGACTCGAATGGCTTTAATTAATAATGATCGGACGGAAGTGTGCGAGTGTTTCTATGGTTCGTTTTCAATTTTTGCTCGTAGCTCGTATAGATGATCGAGGATACGAGGATGATGTAGAATAACGACGCGGCCCGATCATTTTATCTCGATATCTTAAAAGCTGTTCGAGATGGTAGAGCAGGCCACTAGCATCGCTACTCCTCGCAGCATCATTTGTGTCAAGCTGTATTCTTTTTACGATAGCAAGTAAGGAGGCGAGGAATGCGCGAGGCGGTTAAAAACGGTTGAATTCGCCCGTAGAGCGGTCAGTTGTTCGCCGAGATCCCACACGTTGATAGCAATTTCAGGGAGAAGAAGGTAGAAGAGCGGAAAGGCGCTTCACGTCGGAATGCATTACCCTCTCTCTCTCTCTCTCTCTCTACCTCTCGAATCTTCCTCACGAAGATTGAAAGAAAATAGTGTCGATTGCCGGCCTTGCGCGAGGCTAAACTTCACCCCTAGCGAATATCGTGGCCACCGATCCTTCTGCATAATGTCTTTCCTCCCCTCCCTTCGTTCCTCCTATACGTGAAGCGATTCCCGACCCCGGATCACCATTACGCATCCCCCATGGATGCACAATTCCATTTCAACCTACGACCTACGATCGTTCGCAGCTTCCGTGGCTAACTCCCAAGAATCCGTGGAATCGAGTATTATTTACCTCGAATCATCGATTCCCCCTTTACGATTACGTCTCGTGCGTGCTCGTACAACACCAACGCGGATCCTCCTCACCATACGAATTCCTATGAAATTTTGTATCGATCCTAATTACCGTGGGAATGTCGGTTACGTTGCGTTAATCGTTGCATCTACAATTTACGATTTCGTTGAAAATCCGAATAAGATTGCTTCTCGTCGCGTCGTAAAACCGTCGATGTTGGCCTCCAAACCATCCACTATCGGATATCGAATAATCAGTTACACGTCGGACGTGTAATACGAAAATTCTAGTGTAGACTTGCTCAAAGGATAGGATATCCAGGAATGGATATGGATAGGCTGATCTGAAAGAAAGGAAAAGAGAAAAGTTTCTTCTTCGCGTCGAGGTGAAAAGCGAGGAGAATATGTATGGTTGGAAAAGGGAATGGAACGCGCGACATGACGATAACAACTTCGTCTCGGACCTTCGACCCTTTCGCACCACGTTCTCGCGTTCCACGTATCGAACGTAAGCGATTTAGGTGGCGGATAATGAGTTTCCTGGACCTGGGTTACGTTGTGTACGACTTACAAGGATCTCTGTATACTCGTCGTGTACACACGGTGAGATCGATGTATCGCCGTGGATACGTTCGCCTCGGCTATTATTCGCGAGTCGTGATCCTGGGTCAGGCTACGGGGTGTTCTCCATTACTAAGGATTCAATACGATGCGAGGAGGGATGGCAATAATGCATGAACGTCGGATCGTTGGAATTCCTCACGGTCCATTGCCTCGCCCAATGATCTACCGTGTCATTTACTCTCGCTAATCGCGCGACTATATCAATTACCTACGGGCTTCTCCTCGCGGCTCGACTATTCGCTCCCGTGGAATCGAAAACGGATCGGATTGGCGCGAGGAAGATGGAGGAGAGACTCCTCGTACGTGTCCTCGAGTAATATGATTGCTTCATTCTCGACTAAGCGGACCTTATCCATCCATCTATCCTTATTATTTCCTTCCTTTCGTGTAACCCTATTACAACCCCGTTACGTTGCAGTGCAAAGACGAATAAAATGTAAATGATCAACTTTGTCTATTCGAATACGTCAGGATATATGTATGCAGATAAGGGAACGGTGGAAGAGTTCTTGAAGGAAAACCTACGAGTTAAGAAAAAAGAAAAAGAAAAAAATATATCAGGCACCGCTGAAAAAGGATAGAACGGGTCGACAATCTCTCTCGAGATCGAGTAAAACAGATTTCTTCCTTCGCCGATACCGAAACAGGAATACGCGTCGTTGCAATAACGTTACGACCTAGGGTAACCTGACTATCATTTTTTAGACTTATCATTTCACGTCTTAACCTTCAATTAAAAATTTACTCGTGAGAAAGAATTAAAGATATCCCTCCCTTCCTCGATAAACCGATACCAATTCGAGATACAATAGAGTATCGTTAAAAAGGCTTGCAAACGATGCACGCTCTGTGAAACATTTTGAGACAATATCCCCGATCGAGATATCGACTCGATTCAACACCAGAGACCTCTGAAATCTGTTGTGTTGCGGTGGCCCGTGGTGGTGATAAATTGCAACGCGAAAATGCTCGTCAGCTTTTTACGATCGATCGACGGGTTTCGCGTTTTATTGCACGGATGCAGGATTCGTGGGAGCCAAGTTGCACCCGGAGGAGTAGCACAAAGCGAGTCCAGGATTCTGAACCCACTATCTACTACCGACTCCGCCAACTAGTTACCCACGCACACGTAGACGAATACAAGCTCCGCAACGTGTCGCGTACTCGCGCATGGTTAACCGGCGTGCGTGTATACATAAAAGTGTATAATATAATCGTATGCGTGTACACGAACGCGGAGATAAGTCTGTGGGACACGAGTCTGCGCGTCTGCCGCTTGATTCTTCCTTCTCCTCTTTTCTTTTTTCTTCCTCTTTTTGCTTCTTCTCCTCCTCCTTCTCTTCCTCCTCCTCCTCCTCGTCCTCTTTTCCTCCGTACGTACGCTGTATCTTGGGTTATCTTTGCCAAGGAAGAATCGTAAATTCGTGCTCGCGGTTTGTGCGTAAAACACTCGACGCAGCTTCCTACGATGATTTACTCGATCCCGTCCGTCGTGCCTTACGCTCGGTGTAAATTGCGCCCGCGTAAACTCGCATTTTTTCCCATTTCGATATCGGCCAACAGACGAGAAATCCTCGAGAGGATGTTTTCGGAATGTTTCGCGTGTAATGGATCGCGGTGACGAATCTAAGCGTAATTCGCGATGTACTCGTGTGATTCATGGGCCGGGTCCGTATTCGTGTTTATCGTTCCGTTGGTGGCCTCGGTGTTAAAACGGTCTCGAAAGTAGCTCTTTTAGAAAATGTTTCTGCGCGGAATAAACGACGGTTAACGCGTTACATCGGCTGATTTTTCCAAGTATTATGATATGTTGTGTTAGCGCGTGAGTATAAATATCTTCCCCAAGCAAGAAGAAGCGTGTATCTGGTATCTTTTATGGGCATTCCGTGTTAGAATATTATTACTGCTCTGTGCTTGTGTCGCGACGGTATCGAGGAGATAATGGATCTTTATCGACACATCGATGTTGTTATTAATTTAATAGAGAGAGAGAGAGAGGTTTTCGTTGTTGGGACGCGGGTTGTTGCCCGTTTCGCGTTAATTATTCGTCGATAAAAAATAATATCGATGAATAATTTGACAATAAATATTGAAAACATTGGGGAAAGTATTGGAATATTAAGTATTGAAAATGATAGGAAGCTGTGAAATGAGGGATAGCGAGTACAAGTTATTAACAAGTGTATGCGACGTATTAGTAATTAACGAATCTTGTTATCGGCCATCGGGAAAACTTTTAATTTTCGCGGAAAAGAAACGGGAAATTATGAACGCTCTTCTCTAATTCAATGACCGCAAATTAATACCAGTGAACCATAACAAACTCTTCTGTTATCGAGTAATTATAAACTTCATATATACATATCCTGTAGCGATTTATAATTTTCCTCTGATCACAAGAATTTTTTCGCTTCCGTTTTAATCTATGCTCGAGACCAACGAGAACGTAATAATAAATGTTATCGTTCAATTTATCCCTTGCATAATTTCTTTCTTTCTCGATATTCTCTCGGTACATTTTATGAACTCGTTAAATCGAAATCCCCGTATTTATACGGTACCCTTGATTATCCCCGCAGAAATTATAATTAAAAAAAAGAAAAAAAAGAATAGAGGAGCGCGAGAGTATCAAGCTCCATTGCCTTTTGGAACGCACGGATTTCGCGGCGATGTTCGCGCGATATTATTTCCGAGGAAGGGAATATAGCGAAACACAGTTACTCCAATTTTCCACGAGATTACAGTCCGCACACAAGCTTCGAGTCACAATCTTCGATGCCTTTCCAATCGTTCAAGAATGCACGGATTAATTCGAAAAAACGATCCTTCCTTAATCATATTACTTTTCGATATATATATATATATA